CGAGCGAGGAGACTGAAAGAGTGGATGTGTTAAATTTAGGGTCAGCTAATTGCGGTCTCCAGAGTGTGTGTGTGTTCTGTCTGTCAGTGTCTAGACTGTGCCAGTGCCACTACTGTGTTTTCTCAGATGTGAGGCTTTATTAAGCCCTTTACTTAAGCAAACAACCCGGCTACCATGCCTGTTTGAGTCTGTATACAGCTAGTACAGTTTGAATACGGGTTGGGTTTAATGCTCCTTGTGTGTGCACTTACCTGTTCATGATTTATTGAGATGGGAATGAGTTCTTGTTAGCTAAAACAATTAGAATTTATGAGTCTCTCTGTGCTATAAGTGACGGGCCAGAGGCTTCGCCCCACACAGACACACACAGCCGGGCTAATTGAGTTTGGTCATTACTGTCTCGTTCCTCTATCAAAGAATCGTTCAGTCGCTCATCCATCACAACACACACATGCACACACTCCATTAATAAAGAAAACAGCTTCTGCTTTTTATTTCTCTTCCTTCCCCACACAGTGTATACACACTTGTTCCTTAATGCATGTGACTGCCATATGAGCACTTTTTATTTACATGTGTGTGCTACTCTGGATGCCATAACTAACAGATGCACCCTGATGTCCACCTTGCTTGTCTCTGGTGATATTTGTGCCTGCATTATGCACACTCATCTGTGTCTCTGTTTCTTTTATCTTCAGTTGTTGCACACACAGAATGTCTGGCAGGGCCTGGTAGTGTGTGTGTAGAATCCAGGGAAAAAGCCCCACCAGTGCAAATGGAAACAGAGATGGAAAGAAAATGAGATGGACAGATGAATGGAACAGACATACATACCAAAACCTGGAGAGTGATAGAGATGCATACAAATATTCAGCAAGTCTACGACAGAGTGAGCGGCAGAGTGAAAGAGAAGGGGGATAAAAGTGTTTGCTAAATGGGTCAGGCCTGTCTGCCATCCCAGGCACAGACACACAGTGTGCAGCCCCCCAGGGAAAGACCCAGACTGTACAACATGCTGCTGAGAAGAGAGAGAGCAGAAGGAAAGATGAAATAAAAATGTGATGTAGCGGAAGGTTGCAGATATATCCCAGGAAAAGGGATGTAAAGCAAGAGAGCCAGATGTGTCGGTTCTGATTGGAAAGGATCATTTCACTTATATAATGTGTTGTTGCTACTAGTCCACTTGTTTTCAGAAATTTGTCATTATGAGATTTCAATAAATGAGAATGCAGCTAAACATACTGATCAAAGCAGAAATAATGTAAAATCTCTGACTGGTTAAAGAGGTTACTCCGGTTCAAAACCTTTTAGAAGCTAGTATCTCTGCACTGCTGCCAGTGCTGTTCAATGAGTCTGGGTCACAGGAGGCTTCGACATCACCTCTCCACATTAAGACAAGTTTTGGACCAGATTTCTACAACAAAATATGTTTTTTAAAAGCTTACATATGGTAGCTTTAAGCTTTCTCACTTTTTATTTTTAATGTTTTTTTTGAAGGGGGGGACTGGTGTGTGTGTGTGTGTGTGTGTGTGTGTGTGTGTGTGTGCGTGCTAGTGTGCCACGCTGAGTCAATACAATAGTCCCTTACAGGCTTAAACATCCATTTAAGCTGCCTATTAACATTTTCCTGTACAATTTCAATCATTCTTTTACAATCCTGTACTGTATTTGACAGCCTGTACTTTTGTGTGACATGTCTGCTGGGAGGGGGAGTTTGGTTTGACCTGCGACAAAGGTGCTGTGACTCTAACCCATGATGCTGAATGTGGTTCAGCCTGATGCTGTGCAGGTCACACCAGTCATTTTTCATGGTACACTGCTACCTGATGAAAGGACGTGGTGAGTTTGTTTGCTGGACTGGAACTGCATCAAAGAAAGAGTGAGAAGAAAGGAGAATGAGCCACTGAAGGATGTCACTGAAGTGAGAAGTGCTCCATGGCTGCTTGGTTTGAAGAGATGAAAGGTTAATTTCATTTGACAGCCCACAACAATGAGTAATGACTCCAAAACCTCCCACTCTCTCCCATGTCTTTGTGCTGTTTCACTCACAACTTTTTCCTTGTAGCATGGCCTTATTTGTTGTACAGCTTCTGCTGCACTCTGCCTTGTTTGCCTCCATTGTATGTGCAGCAACCTGCTGCTTACCGTCTGTGCGCCTAGGTAAACACATTTTGGGAGTAGCTAGCTAATCCATCACAGGCGTCATGCTGAAATATTTCTCCCCCGGGGTCCTGCAGTGCTGAAGTATCAGGTGGAAGGGTTCCACTTCCTGGCTTTGTGGGCAGGTTCCTGGCTGAGGGAGACAGCCTCCGTATTTGCCCCTGGTGGGTTGAGCTTATAGTCCATGGGCGACACGACATGTTCCACCACAGCCCTGGACAGCGCCACTCTGAGTATGTGTTAGTATGCATCATGTGGTCTTGAGTAACAAGGAAGCTGATTTCTGCAGTGAAGAATAGAACTTCATTTTCACTAGCATTATTTTCAGTCCTGGCTGTGTGAATCCAGATTTACTGTAGCTCTGGTGTCAAATTTTGATGTAAGGACATTGCACCACATCTCTGTAGGTCATGAAGAAGGGTGCATGTCAGTATCTCTCTCTCTCTCTGACACACAGTGTGAGTGTTCCTTAGTGAGCTGTACAGATTTTAAATTGAATCTCTCTTGTCTGCGCTGTGGGTGACCTTCCCATTCGGAGCGTTCGAGAAAGCCAATACAGTTGCCATGATTTCATTCTCACAGAGCCTGACAGATTCAAAGAAACAGAGTGAGCAGCCTAACTTGAATTTCATGAATATTCCTTGCTGTTATGATTCCAAGGGTGACAAAGAAGAGATGGGATCCAAATCTTCATAGATTATTAGCCACAGGTTATATGCAAATTTGGTAAGTTTAGTCTTGAAAACAATGTTTGTATTTGTATCGGATGCTCAGTTGTCTTCTTCAAAGGGAATGCCTGAGAGGAAGGTGTCAGCATGCTGTAACCCGTTATCCTCATTTGTGTGATTAATTCTATCTTGCTCCTTTTTATGACAACAGCCTTTGCATCCCAACTTTGCATGTGGCCGTTTGTGATAGCTGCAAATACTTTTGCCACGGTCGGATATCATGCCGTCTAGTTAGTTTTAAGAATACCCTGTCCTTTAAGCATTGTCAACACAATGCAGAGAGACTGTCACATGAGGCTCTGTGGTACTTTCACACCAGCATTGTCCTAGAAAACACATCAGAAGAACTCTCACCTTGGTAAGGAACAGTCTCACCACAGATGGCTTTCTCAACAACAGCGCACTGTGACAAAAAGTTCACTTCTGTCATTGTGGGTGGAGTGAGGAGAATGAATAAATCAGCGACACAACTAAGGCCCAGAAGACAACATTAAAACAGACTTTTAAATCAGTGCTACAGTAGGTAAAGGGGCAAAGGAGGGCATTGTAATGGGGTGCTCTGATAAAGGCAAATGATTTTGTTTTCTACATTTTTATTTAACGTTGTAGTCCTGTTTATTTTTCAAGGCATAAGAAGCATCACATTGCACAACAGCATATATGGCAATGTCAGAGTGGACCATTACAAATTGAAAGAGACAATGATATAAGTATAAATTCATTCAATGTCAAATAAAAGACAGAACAAAGTGAAAACTATCAAAAGCAATAATCTCCCGTCAAAGCAGCGGGCTAATGGGCCCAAACTATTTCAGTCTTGACTAAACAAAGCAGAGACAGCACCTTAATGAGTCTGCCACTCAGCAAGAGACAGCAGCTCTGAATCACTTCCAAGTTACATGCTTGATAGTTTCGGCTGTGCCTGACTCACCTTGAACTTGGTTTAATCACTGTTGATTGTTTCTGGGACAAAATACCTCCTTTTTTCTACTGTTATTAAGCTCCTATATTACATTGTTTTCTTGTGTTTGATGAAATGTGTTAAATAATCCAGGACATAGTTTAGCCATGTTTCAAGCTTCTTTAATATTTAGTCAGCGAGAGAAAACGTAAAACGTACATATGATTCAAGGCCCGGCACAGCAACATCACAGCAAGACCTCGCAAAAAAGTCTGGTGCCGTCGTCTCTAGTCTCTAATCACAGGAGTGGTTGGTGAACTTCTTAAACTGGTGAGCTAACCAGCTCTAACATACTAACAAGCTGGGACATACTAATGCTGGTCATTAACAACAGCTCTATAAAATTTTCTCTGTTTTGTCTGGAACCTTTTGTTTATGCCCCCTGCCACCTTTAGCATGGGGCAGGAGGCATATTAGACTTATTGAAGAGGGGAAATTTGCTCTCCAGGGTAATATGTATTAAGCTCGTTAGCTCAGCCAGTGAAAGACCATAAGTTCACACAATTTATTCAAAAGATGTTTTGCTACCATCGGTTCCAGACTCTTTATGGCCTCCAAACCATTTCCCTGTTGGGAAGCAGTTCATACAGAGGATGGTTAAATATGAGAGGATGGTGCATTACAGTAAATAAGATACAATTGAGTCCATTTTGGACTCTCTACTCCCTCAAAGGTCAGCACTGTCAAGACAGCTTGCTATTTGTTGATGGTGATGCAATCAGTCAACTCGATGCAAACAACTTACGTAGATTTACCATGCAGTCATGCAAATAAATCCACTGGTCATAGTTAATCCCTTGAAACTGACAACTAGGTCTAGAAGATTCAGCTATATTTGATGAGAATTATCATTAATTTACTATAATTTCTTTAAATAATACTTGTAAGTAAATAAATATATGATTCCTGTGCTGGTAAGAAAACGTGTAATATTGATTTTATGTTGGCAAGACAAAAGGGTAAAGTATGGGCGAAGTGCTAAATGTCAAAAAGAGTGAAGGTGACGAGTAAAGAGAAAGTAAATAAGAAAAAAAGATATGGAATAATGGTGCAGCTCTGCATGGCTTGTTTCACCTCCCTAAAATAAATTCTGATGCTCTTTTCTGCTGTTGATCCCAATGAGAAGCGCCATGGGTATAAAATCAATAAGTCTCAATTCTGCCACTGAGCTTGGCTTTGCAGCAAAAATCTATAACACTGTTTTGATTTATTATTACAAATCTATTGCTCTTGTTTTTCCCCTGTTCCTGCTAAAAAAGGTGGGGAGGTTGTCAAAACAATGAGAGTAAATCAATGGCTACTGCAAACAAAGGATGTCCCGTGGAGCCCGCAGCATAGGTCAAACCACAACAACAACCAAAAAAATGCAGTAGTATGATTATTATGATTCAATACGTCCTCCTTTGTTTCCTCTTCGGGGAGGTTTACTCTCCTCCGTTAGTGGAAGAAGAGATGGAAGGATGTTTCCATCTATCTTTCAAGAGGTAATGAAGTCATCATCCCCCGATAGATGTGCCCTGACCCTGTCAGCTCCTGGTGGTGAGTCATCAGCCTGTCACTCTGGTCACAAGCTGCACACAGGCAGGTTTTCCACAAGGACAAATGTGAATGCTCATACACTGCTCACACATACTCAAACTCTCTTTCAACAGCATCCTTGTTTCCGTGTCCCCTCTTCTTTTGTCTTCCCACAGTTTATAACCCCATCATAACAAGTCACTGTTGATAGACAAAACACCATTATCATAGACATACACACTGCGCTAATATCTTAGGTGAATTAAGAGTATGGGAAGGTGATGTTGAACATACATGACCAAATGTACAGGAGTTAACACTGCACACATGCCAGGCTTTACTATAGGAACATGACAAGATTTGGACTTTGTATACATTAAAGGAACTTGAAGGAATTATGATCAAGTGGACACAATATGTCTGTGGGTGTCAGTGTACCTGCAGCAGCTGCCCTACATGGATACTGTACAGCTGAAAGACTGACTGTCCACAAGTTTTTAACCCCCTTCTGCATGTACATGTAGCAGAACATCTGGCTAGTGTCCTACACAGCAGTGATGACCACAACAACAGTGGCAGAATTTGGAAGCCAAAGCCAACACGGTGCAAGTTGTTTGCTCATTCATACTTGTTGAAAAAGTAATTGCATTAATTTATTTAAAAAAAAGGTAGTTAAACAATAAACGTAACCAACTGTAACTGTGATTAGCTGTTTTTCAAGCTGGTGTCAATATGAGCATGATCTTAATCTGTGTCTACTTTCAAAGGTTTTTTTTAAAGCTTTTTTTAATATAGGTATTTTATGTGTCTAGAATCGACTCAATATTTTAAATTCTGAGACTAAATAAAAGTTAATTTGTTAGATTCA